GCAAGATGATGGCACCTACAGCACTGTGTGCAGTTCCACCTGCAGTGTGCTTGTGAGGATGCTGGGAAAAGAGTTACAATTCTTTCTTGGAGAAAACTCTTGGTTGGCCTGCATGCCCAGCACAAGTGCCAAGTTCCATTTCTATGCATCAGCTCTAACAAGTGTAGAAAGTAAAAAATGCCCTTTACTCTGACATCTTTGCCATGCAGGCAACACATGAGCAATGTAAAACTACGTGCTCCTGCAGTAACGACGGCAGTTCTTCCTACCCCTTATTGTTGTTTCTTTGCATTTCTGTAAAAGCTCAGTATTTTAGCAAAAGCATTACATGGTCTAACTTTTGTTTCCAAAGCATTTTCACACCAGTTTACGGTTCAAAAAAGCCACTTTATTGTTAATCCAAGTAATAAAACACAAAAATACTCTGAAAGTTGTCACAGGCATCACAACTGTTTGTAGAGCAGCAAAGAAGAATAAAACATTTGGGAAAATGACTCTATTGGTCTGAATATGCATGTAAAACAGCAACTTGCTCTCTCTACTCCCTGATGAGCAAGTTTTACAGAGCTTTTACATATAAATTTTACATAAAATCTACATAAACATACAGGTGAACATTTTCCCAGTCCACTTCTGAATGTGGTTAGGCATCCATCAAGCTTCTGAGCAGGGACAGAAAGACAGCTCATGATTCACAGCAGAGCAGGCAGGCACAGGTGACATCCTGGAACCCAGACTGACATGCCTGCTGATCTCAAACTGTTCATGCTGCAGTTCCTTCTCCTTCTCCTCCTTGACTACTGTGAGCTGTAGAAACTTCTGTTTCCGGGAACAGAAACTTCTGATCCCACTGCAGGTCATCTCCAAACCTTCTCACTCTTCCTCTTCAGGTCAGAGTTCCCAATGGCTGTCCCTGTCCAGTACAGACTGAACATCCTGTCAATTAAACGATGAGATGAAATCTTTCATTTTTATCCTCAGAGGGAAAATGAACTTTCTTCCTTCTTTCTCCCCTTGACTATCCAACACCATGGCAAAGCCAAGGGTGTCTACTTCCACTCCATCACTACATGCTGAACTAATAAAAATTCTTGTTAGCTACTCTGCTAGGTTAGAGGAGATTGGGACAACCAAACTAGCCCCTTGTCACTAGTTTTGACTTTATACACCATTTCACAACGAGGAAACCTTAGAGGATGCTAATCTACTGGAAATCCAAGAGTGGGAAAGGAAATAAAACGTTGCCAAGTTATGGGTGTAATTCTGTCTTTGCATAGATAGAAATCACTCACTGCTTGCTGACTGAACAAAACCAAATAAGCCAAGAGGGCATCAATACAATACACCCTGCCTTGCTGATTTGTCCCATATGCAAAATTCTCAAGTGTCACATACTAAAAGAAAGGGGAAAGTTTATGCAAACTCTAACAGCCTTCAGCCTGTTATAGGAGCATAGCTGGATCTGAACCATGAGATCATATTCAAACTAGGAGGAGTAATATCACAAGGAAATTTTTCAACTTATTCAGCCACTAGAATCAATACTGCAGGCCACTTAAGACAACCTTGGCACATATCAACTTAACTTCTCATCAGCACGTTGGAGGGAAATTAGAAAGACAGCAGACATGTCTTTCAGAAAGTACATCTAAATCTGCAATTCAAACTTTTTAAAGTTCTTTTATTAAGTACAAATGTCATAATCAAGGACTGGTGTTTTATTTAATAATTTTTACTGGTACTGCCTCAAAGATGCAACAGAGGCACAACAGAAAACAGAGAAACAAGATGGCTTCTGCCATCAACAGAAGTTAAAGACAAACTGTGGCAAAGAAGACCAGTTCCAAAAAGTAAATTTCCCAAAAATACCTTGCAGTTAGTGTCAGCACAGCACTTTTCCCTAGTAAAATGAAAAGAGGGTGAATGCATCTTACCTGGCTACAGGTCCAAATCCACTGATGTTCCATCTCAAAGCTCTCAAGGCTGCTCACGTGTGAACAGGCTGGAGGGCAATTCCTGGTTCTTCTGAGCACACAGCCTGCACAGCGCTGCCTTCTGTATCAGAAGTTGTTCCATGCTGCAAAGAGCTCCCTCCAGAGCCATGACACAAGAATCTGTTGTGAAGGACTGTGCATACATACGTGAGGCTTCGGTGAGCAATAGCTCAGGACCAGACAAACACAGAGCTGCTGATCTGGCAGTGATCATACCTAGCAAGTTTTTGGAGTGCTTTCTACCTTGGAAAGCTGTCCTCTTGGTGGCCATCTCCACAGCTTCTCCATGATGTTTGCACAATACGACAAACTACACTTTTACCAAAAAATCTTGCTGCCCTTACATCTCAGCTTAACGAACACGCTTCATTGTTTGCTACTAAAATTCTCTTTCAAGAGTTTTTAAGCAGTTGAAAAGAAGAAAGGAGGAGAGAGGAGAGTTAGAACACACCACAGTTAAAGAGCTGACGACCACATCGCTTTTCAGAGCTGCGCTGTTCTTACACTATTAGCTGTTCTTGAAATGTACATTTTGACAAGAGTTGCTGATAATCTAGCTCTGTCACTTTCAGCATCTATGCATTTACAGTTCCTTAGTGATTGAACTTATCAGTATAATTTTGCACTGGAGGCTCTGTGTATGTACGTGTGCATGTATGTGCAATTGCAAGATAGATGGCAAACCTTGTTCCACCATGGCATATAAAAAGATGTCACCTAAAATAAGACCATGAATGCAAACAGAATGGAAACATAGACTACTTGAACAAAACTATTTGGAACACCAGTGCAAAAAGGTACTTTTTTTTATCTTGACTTCAGCAGGACTTCTCATGTAATTCACATGGAATATTTGACACAGACAACGTTACACTTTGTGCTTATAAATAAGGGCTTATGTCAGACATAAGGATCTTCACAGCTGCAAGCAGCAAGTGGATGGAATGCAAGTCCCATGGACAGCCACCGGAAAGATTAACTTATGAATCTTCTCAGACAGGAAGAAAAAGTGCAAGTTAACCATTGCAAACAAAGACTTGGCCCTGCTAGCTCATCCTAACCCACCTGAACACCTTCTTTACTTCAGAGAACGGTCAACCACAACACTTAATGAAACAACACCACCTTCAGTGTAGGAAGCACTGAAGTAAATAAACACAGTCACCACTGCAGCACAGAAAATGAAATACTCTTATCTAGTTTTCCACCATTCCAAGAGGACAGAACCCCAAATGAAGTCATACACCACGTACTTTATTGAACTGGCTGTTTGCATCAACCAGATGCAAAGTGCAAGTGAGAGCAATGGTACACTCCAACTTGATGACTTCACACCTGACCAAAAAAAAAATAATCAAAAAAAACCACAAAGGCAATAGCATGATATCAAGAGGGAGCTCAATAAAATGCAAAGAAGGGTCCATCACAATCTTATCTGCAAAAGCAGACTGCATGTGTCCTCCCTGAGTTCTTTTTTCTTCCAACACGAGTGATAGCTTGCTATGTTTGTCTCAGGGCCTGAATGTGGCACTTCAGCGAGGGAGATGATACACAGCTGAATAACCTCCAGTGCAGAATCCAGGAACCAAGAAGCTCCCAAGTTTTTGACAGCAGAGGCAATACACACCTGGTGAAGCCACAGTACAAGGACTGCAAAAATTCAGAACAGTCTATGACATTTCTACAGCACACACATTGGAGGCACCCTGTGCACACCTCTTCCCCCCTACCATATGCCTGTAATGGGATAATCTGGCTGACAAGTAAATAAATGGTTAGGAGACCATAACCATGATGCACACTTAGCACAGTGCTGGAAAAACTGCTTTTCTTTCCCTCTTTCCCTCTCATCCATACTCAGGTAACATATTGCCAAAACGTGCCTTTTCCAACCAGAAAATGTACCCTACCACTACAGTCATGTCAGTATGCAGATGGTATAATCAGGATTTCTGGCAGTTCTGTACAAGAATTCTCTGTTGTGGGTAAAAAAGCTAGAAGAAATGTTCAGTTACTCCTCTCCTAATTACACCAGAAATCTGCATGCTAATGCAGTATCATAATAATTAGGAATGCAAAGTAATTAAACCTTGTAAATGGCTTCAAGAGGGAGTGAAATTTGCACACTTGAGAACACGCTTTGATTGAAAGTGTTATGAGCGCAGCCCCATTGAAGGACTGCATTGCTTGATGTTCTGCTAGTAAAAACAATTCTCAATTCTAGCAGTCTGTCTCATCTCCACATCATTTAAAAATTCATCACTGGTGCACCAGTTCACCATGAAGGTAACTCAAGAGAACAATGAAGAAAATCACCATCAACATGGCTCCCTGCTTTGTGACATCTCTCCACTGTAATGCTGGGCCACTGATAATTGGCAGCTGGTACAGCTACCCACCCAGCTCTGCACAGACCCCACATGGCTTCATTGAAGCCATATTTCTCTAGATCGTTTATGAAACTGTCACACACATTAGACACTAAAGCCATAGTGAAACTCAAGCTGCAATGCCTTCCCTAGCTACAAGACTTGTTCAACAAACACAGAAGTACATTTTCAAGGTTTTAAAAATCATTCTGGCTGCTACTGATCTAACAGTTTTTCAAAATAAAATAAAATAAATTTACCTGTAATTCTCTTTTAGCTCTTAGTACACATTAAATTTTTACTGTCCCACTGTTCAGTCACCTCAGCTCTCTGAAGCTACAGCAAATGGATCTGAGATCACTTGAGCTAGGACCTTCCAGGATCCTAGAAGGAAGCCCACCAGGTACAGCTGACTTGCAATCATTAAGTATGTTCACATAAATTCTCAACTCCTGTTTCTTTTTCAGTGTGTCATTCTATCCTTTGTCACAATGCCATGTGTGTGGAGGGCTGCCATCTAGTAGAACTTAAAACCAACGGTGAGTAGCTCTGATCTTCAACGACCATTCTAAGATAAAACCTGACACAATCCTCAGGTCAAGTTATGGAATCCATTAAATCATAAAGCACCTCATACCTTCGTTCATTGTCATCGAGATGAGCAAAGAGCACATTCTTGGAGATGGCCTTTGCCAGAGCAGTCATAGTTTTATAGTCCTTCGGAATAACCTATGGGTGAAAAGAAAGAAGAGCAATTACGTGTCTGGTTGTATTTCCTCGTAATTCTTGAAACCTGTGGAAAATTCCATTATTCAAGATAACAGATGCAATTTGATTTCAATCACTGGGACAGATTTAGGCTATAATATAAAGCAACTAAGAAAGTAATAAATTACAGTTTTGATAACATGGGGATAAGAATTGATGTTCTCAACATGACAACCAGAAAAGAAATGCAAGCTCTGAAATGAGTAGGGAGAAAGATAGCCATAAAATACCATAATTAGCAGGTACTGGCAGCTGTGCAGTATCCTATCCAGTCTATGAGACTGAGGAAAATACATTTCTTATTCTTCTCTCTCCACAAAGAGTTTCAGAAGCAACCTACTTTTAAAAATGAGTAAAATTTCTCCAAGGAAAAGGAAAAAAAATGAATTGATTACACAATGTTTTTTTCATACTGGTTGTGGCATAAGGAACTTTGACCATTGACCTGGGTCAAAACTCACATTTTGCTTCTTGGCTAGTGAGAAGATTTATGCTGGAGAATAAAGAGGTATTTTATTTGCTAATTGAAGAGAAGGCACACATTCTCTACTATGTGAATTCGGTCATAATCCTGAAAGTTTAGATTCTATTAAGTTAAACAAAATGGGTATTTGGCTAGTAACTTTTCCTTGTTTTTTCCTCCTATCAAAGAAACCCCGGACTGACCTGCAGTTCTGCATTTCTGTTCTATGAAAACAACCTAGCTGTTCAGCTTACTGCTGCTGAGCCAAGAGGGGATAATCTAAACCACTGACACTCAGCTCTCGCTGACGATAAAATACTGCTGACTAGCCTCTCTCAGTCTCAATCTGAAGCAATGAAAGCTACAGGGCAGAGATTTAGGTGGGTCTCATGGGACAAGAACACAGAAAACACAGGAAAGATTCCTTAGGTGTCACAGCAACCAGGCATCAACAAAATGAAAAGTCTAAACAAATCACTTGATCACACCTTACATCATTTTTCTAAGTAATCATGAAGCGTTCTCTTCAAGCAGATCAACTCCTTTACAACAAAATTCCCATTCTGTCAGTTGTTCTGTTAGCACTGTGTCAGATGTGCTGACAAACATTGCTTTCTCTGGTTTCAGGACGAAGCGATGAAACAAGCAGCCGCAGTGATCTCAGTGCTCTTCTGAACGGAACCACCCCAGATGTTTGCTCAAGTCACTCAGCTAAATCTCCTTTCATTTTCTCTCCAGTGACATAACTCACCACTTTCCCTTTAGCACTACTCATCCTACAGCTCACCCTCCAGTGGATCCTTCAAGCTGCTTATGACCCACATGTGTTTCTATCCAGCGCCTGAATTCAAGCCAATGGTTCTTCCTAGCTGTTAGCTAAAAATGCTTCTCTTTGCAATAGCTTAATACAACCCTTGCCTTGCTTTTTACACTTTTTCATTTCTTTCGTAATTCATCCCTCCAGCATCTCCCTCTGTTTCTTATTCCAGAAACCTCTGTCACAAACACACAGCTTCAGGGTTCACCATGGGAATCATTTGCTTATGGCAGAAGACAAAGCAAGAAACAAAACATCCCATAGCTAGTCCTACATCCCTTGCAGTATCTACAGCTGACAGAAAACCATCCCTACATCATGTATTACTTAAACTCAGTCAGTTTCTAGGGAATTAAAATTGCAGCAGTCCTTGCCCCAGAGCACCCAGAATGTGATCTGTATTGCTGTTTCCAGCTGTGGGCCAATTACTGCCTACTAATCCTGCTGCTGGGAAAAGGAATAAAAAGTTAATTTCAGGATCCATCCAAAACAGGAAACATTACCCAGGGAGTAATGGCTGAGAATTAACTACTCCATAACGGGAGGCAACAGATTAGCAGCATTCCTCAACAAAGGAAAGAATACAGAATGCTGAAGCAACATGCTTAGAAAAATACTTTATTAATACATTAAGAGGCAGCAAATGTACTTGAGAAGACGGTCAAGCCATGGCTTTGCTGACATGAGGACGACACTCTACAAGCTGACCAGTGCTTCTAAGCACTAAAAATAAGCAGAATACAAGTCATTTCATCGCCCTGCAGGGACATGACAAAGCATTACCTTTCTAACATAAGAAACAGCATCTTCTTCTGTGTACACCTCTGCACTGACTCCTCCTCTCCTGCGTCGGGCTTTTACTACTGGGTTGGGAGGCGGAGGAGAAATCTCATCGTCATGGGAATCAGACTGGGAACTGGACTTCTGCCGAGCCAGTATCTGTTTGCATTCTTCCTGCAAGGCAAAAAGAGAGAAATGAAACATCTCTTACCCATGTAAGACTCAATATGCTTCCTCTATGACTCTCATACTACTCTCAACTACTTCATTTCTACATCTAGATGCTTGGAAATGCACACAAGTACTGGTCAAAGAAAATTAAAAATGTGCAGCTTGAAAGACTGACACCAACTCCAATGTGTATACAGGCACCATCACTCCAGTACTTGATCTGTCCAATACTTTTACACTTAAAAGAAACCAATATATTATAAACCACAGACATTTCATTGCAGCTACTTCTGGCTGAGAAAGAAAAGGAATAACTTCTTTTGCTAACTCTCCAACACCACAGCTGTTCCTTGCTCAGTTGGCTTTTACATATCTCTGTCTCTTGTACAGAGAACATACCCAAAGTCACATATTAACATGTTAGATGTGTTCCTTCATCTTGCTCTGCTTTGCTCACTACTGCAAGACAGAACAAAGAGGTTCCCTATTCCAGAATTTCTACCATGTAACAGACTTATAACTAATGGGACTACTGCCAAGCAAGCAAGATCCAAGGTAGGCTCCAGAGGACTGCAAGAAATGATGGCTGGCTTGGCACCAGCTGGCCAATAGGGAGGTTATCCTCCAAATACCACATCCTTGGAGGACAGAGTTCAGTACAAAGGGGAATCCCTGAAAATATGGTAACAAGAGCGGGAAAAATCTTCAAGGAAGGATGTGAGAGACACAAGATGCTGTCAATTCATACACTGAATTATCTGATTTCTGAAGAGCTCATACAAACACAGCTACCCATAGTTATAACATTTTCAGGCATAAAATGCACAAGTCCTTTGTAGAAATCCAAAAACCTACACCTGAGCAGCACTGGTTGTTCTACCGCCTCTCCAGTGCCCTGTCTCATTCATTCCAGCCTCCTCTGACCCTACTCAAGGTGAGGGAGAAGGGCCACAGGATGGATCTCGCATCCAGTCCTCAGCTTGTCCCATAAGGGAAACTGTGGGGGATATGAACATTGTGATCAGTCATCCTGCCTGGGCTGCAGTAGGATGAATAAATCCAGTGATTTATTTGCTGTCACCTCCTCCCTTACCATACACACGAGGTACACCCTGATAGTCTCAGAGCTGTGTTATGGACGCACACACACAGCACTCGTCAGGCTGCCGGCTGAACAGCCCCAGTATTGCTGAGAACTCATACTAGTGGAGTTGCAGGCTGTGTGAAAGAAAAAAGAAAACGCAGCAGTGCTAAGGCCCCTGCACAGCCAGCAAAGCCAATTTCCCTTTGACAGCAATACCAGAACCTGGACACAACTAATTTCTGATGAGATTCAGCGATTTGAGCTAGTAAATGGAGTCAGTGGAGGAGGAAGGACCTCAGAGCATCAGCACCAGACATGTGGCAAACCACCAACACGGCCAGTTGGTCTTACTGTCACAGGAAATGAGTTACAGCTAACTCATCAGGTATGACACCACAAAAGAGTGGTACAGAAAACTGGCAAAAGTTCACAATTTTTAAGCTTGCCAGAAAAACAAATGATTAATATCTGTTTTGCCACCGATGTTTACAAATGTCTGACAAATCCAGTCATGCCACTTGTCTTTTCTGGTTTCACTCCAGCTTCCTTCTGCACCATCACAAACACTGCCCCCATCAACAACTTCAGGAGCTTTCATACCGACCTGCAACACGTTATGGCAGTTGAAATAAACAGCAAAGTAGTATTTCTTGTGCTGCATAATTCAAAGTAACAGGCCCCACATTATCGTTTTGATTAAGGGACTACTAAAACATTTGAGAAACAGGCACTGAGATAACACTTATGGAGCTGGCTGGAGAGGTGAGGCCCTGACCTGCCTGAGAAAATGCCGAGTTCCTTCTGGTATCAGTTTTTGTTGTTTTTTTAATGGGGATTGCTAAACTACAACTCCTGGACCATAGCACAGTTGAGTTAGATGATGTACACAAACAAAACCAACAAGCAAGCTGACTTCAGATGTATTAAATCTTTACTGGAACTTTTCCATTTCCAATTCAAATTTCAGATAATAGCACAGAATGCATAAAAAATGACTCAGCAGGCCCTATTTAAGCACTCTCATCAACTTCTTCCCCATGCACAACTCCTCTCTGACTGCCCTTAGCTTCCCTTAGTACAATTATGCATTTGCAGAAATACAAACATGACAGATAAACATATGTGCACTATTTATTTTCATTGCATTTAAAACCCAGCCATCAAAAACAAACCTACGACTGAAGAGTTTGAAATACTGTCACCAGTATTTCAGCTTCTGTATCTCTTTACAGTTAACATTGTGTTTTTATACCACACAAACAAAACCAAACACATCTTCTTCATAAGCTTAACTGAAAGGTAAAGAAGATTTTCAGAGCAGAAAGCAGTTGAAAGTACACTAAAAGGTAACTGTAACAAGGAGCAGTCAGTAAGCAGTTAGAGGAATGCAGCTCTTGCACAGCTCCTTTAATACACGCTCAGAGTGAAAAGCAAGAGCTTGCCACATTCAAATATCAAACAGACACTTCTTCAGCACACACTGCATGAAGGCACTTCCAAGGAATTAATAAATATCTCCTCTGCCCCAGCACGGATTTATGCAAGAAAGCAAGTTCAATGAGAAAAAAATTAATATCACAAAGCATGCTCTGAAACCCAAATACCTTCTAAAGTAGAAAAGATATGAAAGGATTATAAAAGTGAGTTACCATATGATTCATTTTAAAAGGAAGGCTCTTCGCTACAAACTCCTTTTATATAAACAGCAGATAGTTGACTGGCTGCCTTTTCCATATGCCGCTATTTGTAGGCTAGGTAAGATTTCCATTGCTGAGCTAAAGAGTGCCTTTTGAAAATAAAAGCACACACTGTATCCCAGGTTAAGCTTTCACAAAGCCATCTTCCATATATCCTGGGGTGGAACTGCACAAATACAGCAAATACGTTAAAGGAGGAACAGTTCTTCAAACAGCCATCAGGCACAGCTTGGTGTGGACGCCTGTGCAGACCTCACTTTCAAGTAAACACCTCACCATCTTTTGTTGTCATGACAACAAGCCATCTCACTCTATTCGAATCACACAGATAATTCACGATGGCAGAGAAATCTTATTTCCCAATCATGTCCATTTTAAAATGAGGGACTCCAGAAAGCACATGGAAGTCAACAGCAAACACAGAGTGACAAACCTCCGAGCAAGCTGCAGCGAGCACCTCGCTCCTCACTCTACCCTTCACCTGCTGCACTGCTGCCAGCAGAGTTGCTCCTGACTCGTGCAGCAGACAGGATGAGGCTCTCCAAAACACAGGGTCTGAGGCAGATACCCGTACACACAGCCCATGCCATTTTGGGCAAGCTTTGCCTGGTTTTCAGTGCTGGTTCAGCAGTGAGAACCCCCTGCAATGCCTACAGGCCCAAGGCAGTGCCTGTGCAATCTGGTGACTTGGAACAGCAGCCTGCAGTCACTGCTATGGTGCAGCACAGTGACAGACCATCACACCCCAAAGGTACAAACCAGCCCTGCTGTGTTACAATAACACCTAATCTAACCAAATTCCATGAAAGTCATGTTGTGAGTGATTAAAAACCTAGCTGGAGCTGTGCACAAAAGACTTCCCTGTGATTTCTGGTGGAGATGAATTGTGAAACAGGAATACCACAGCTGACTTCAATAGGTATGCCAACCAAACCATAAATTGGAAAGAAAACATACCGCCTTTGCATCAAACTCAAAGCAAAAAGAGCTAATACACACATCTGTAGCAGTGACCCATTTATCTTTTGAATGTTCCCTATGGCTAACATAGTGGTGTTGCAAGAGGCTGGTGTATAAAACACAGGAATTTAGCAAGCTGTCCTCAGTGCGTGGGGTCATTGCCTCTTCTGATTAATGCTTTTAGGAGTTTTTAATGTTTTAAACACCAGAGAAGCAACCACAACGACAAGCAAGTTCTCAGATTTACCCTTCCTTTCAGCCTACTGCTCAAGAGCACACACCGACAGCTCTCCTGTCTCTTGGCTGGAGCATTTCCAAACAGAAAGTCACTTTCAGTAGTTCCTCTCCTCATTGTTCCTTTCAGGCTTTGTCACTGTCTGGAAACACAGTGTTTAAGTTCATGGAAGGATAGCATCTGACAAGGCTCCAAATCACTGCACAGCTTTAAAACAGGATTCCAGGAAGCCTTTAAAAGCACGTCAGCTGTTAGGTATCACAGCTCACCACCTCCGATCCACTTCCTACAACTTCTGTGTTCAAAAGGAACAACACAAAGCACATTCTAAATTAAATATTTTCTTTTTCTTCCCCCTCTCTCACCTCCCAAGCACAGTGTCTTCTGACTGAGGCCTAGAATCTGCTTTCATTTCATCCACAGCAAATGTAAAGCCTAGCTCATGCACCAGTAAACTAATCTCTCTTTGCACTGGAACTGACCCAGAGGAAACACTGTCAATACAGGAAGGTCTGTAACAGCATGCCTTCATTTTTGGGGAATGACACAATGATTAACAGCAAACCGCTCCTTTGGAAGCCCAGGACTCACTGATTCCATCACTGAATTTGGGAGGTCTTAAATGTTTTACCCACCCTTTTCTTTGTCACAGCAGACAACTCTATAATCTCTTCAGATCATTCAGACCTGTAATCTGAGACCTTTCACACACTCCTAACCACCATTCCTCTGCCTTTTGGATGTTAAATGCTATCTTTTCTTCCACAGCATCACAAAAAATAACCTAAACATTCACCCCCACTAATTTATCCAGTTCATACCTGTCCTCCACTCTAACTGCCACTACTGCATCCTCTGTGGTCTCTCTGCACCATCGTTCATTCCCAATTTCCAATCTAGACAAATTCTCCTGCCATAAATCTTCCTACATTTCTGTAGCTCTGCCTCACTGTTTGCCATCCTGTGTCCCTTTACCTCCTGCAACATGTTAGCACTTCTTATCTTCCCTTCCAGTGTCTTGCAGTAGTTCAGCCCATCACCACCTCTTCTCTGCTTACTTTACCACGAGGCACACGAAGGAAAGGTTCTCTTACAAAACAACACACCATATTCCTGATACTTAGAAGCTTATGTAATCAACACTTCAGTGTGTAAAATCCAGCCAAATACCAAATGTGTGCATGCATACCTGGCGTAAGAAGAAACATGCCTGCAGGAAAGTTCACTTTATTATAAATTGCATTTCTCTAGAAATATTCTGCATTCTGACAAAACATAAATACTGGCAGAGACTACAGAAAACTGCAGAAGATTAATGTTCAAATACTGAAACTCTTTATTATACACAAACAGACTCTAATTTACTAACAGTAAATAGTCTTTCCATCCTGCTTTACAGCAAACTTGTCACACGTGTGCCCTTATTTTTCCGATCATGTCTGTATGCAATACTGTCTAATATCACAAGGTGGAGCTACCCAGACAACCTCATTTTGCTCTATCTGATTTCAGACGGCACAGCCTGGTGTTCTCCAAAACTCTTTTGTTTTGGATGGTACCTGAAGGCATATAGCATCAGCCCAGTCCAAAAACCACCGCTGATCCACAGCAAGCCATGGCATTAAGTTCAGCCCGTGCATGACAGCATTCCTCCTGTGTGAGCAGAGGGCAACAGAAGGAACCAGGTGAGCACTCAGATCCAGAAGGCAGCAGCAGAGTGCCTGGCTCAGCTTGCGAAGACACTGCACTGAAATACAGGGCGTGCAAAATGGCTCCACCACAACACTTAGACATTTCTGAACATAAACTGAAGGTGCTGTTCTCTTCTGCGCCATTTTCTTTGCTAGCTCTACTCATAACCTTTTTCTGTGGAGCAGAAGTTTAGCTTGGTCTGCCATGACAACTCCACCTTTGATCATATAATCATAGCACTGATCAGTCTGACACCAATGAAAGTTCTGCAGTCTCACTGTAGGTGAAAATACAAGGCTTTGCCTGCAATTTCTTACTAATTAACTAATTCAGCTCTCTCCCCACATGGGAGCAAAAAGGTATAGCACAGATGCTGAGCTAACAGCAAACGTGCCCTATCAGTGTGCTGCTCATTCCCACACAAACATCTCTAGCAGTTAAATTCACCATCCAGTTCAGATTCCTCAGAGTAACTAAATATGGCAAAGTGCTGTCCAAAAACAGGATAAAATTCGTTTAAACGATTTCTCTATCTTTACAAGTCATTCAAAATGTGACTGTTCCCAAATTTGCACTGTTAAGCCCTGATTCTGCATGCAAACCCGTTGTTTTCATAGTTTTTCCACTAAATAAAGATTTTGTTTGTCAGTTCTGCACAGCTGGAAAAAATAACTGACCTTGTTCCTACCTGACACTGTGCAGTCAGAAACCGCGGCTCCCCTGAGACCAATTCTGTGCAGGAAGAAGATGAACAACACTGCAGAAGACCCTTTGGTTCTACAACTCAGTGAGAAGGGACAGCTACTCCTCTGGGATGCAGATTTCTTTCAACAGCATTATGCAACTGACCAAGTCAAAGTATTATCCTTCAGCAGAAAATCCCCCACAGTACAATCAATCTCAAGAAAGTCCTCAAAAATGGCTGAGCAAGGAAGTCAAACTGCTGTAGGAAGAAGAATTACACCACAGGAAATCTCCAGAAGCATCCTAATGGCCTTCAGCTCAGGAAGCTTAGCTCTCAGACTGCCCTACAGGAGTCAGTGGCACCTCGCTTACACCCATACTACGCATCATATCCACACTATTTGCTGTCCTGGGACTGTCTGTTTCTGAACGATCTCTTGTGGTTCACAACAGTTCTGTTTTTGCATCCAGATCAATATTCTGTTACAGAATTCCAATGTTCTTTGGGAAATAATAGGAGATTACATAAAAGACTGCAGAATACCCAAGGGTAGGAACTGACACCAACTGTCAATGTTCCTGCAGTGCATAAAGTCAAACTCCCCCAGAGCAACTCAAGTAATCCCACCAGCCATGCAGTTTGTTCTAAAACTCTATGGCATATTTTAATGCATTTGACAAAAGCGGCGCTCATCCTTCTGGGCAGGGAGTCTGGGATTGCATATACTAAGCCAGATAACAATTCATAACAAAGGAAATTCAACACATAATTCTCTTCAAATGGGACTCGGCTCTAAGGAGTTTAGCAGAGGCAGAATCAAAAGATGGTTTTGTTGTTGTTTGTTTTTTTTTTTAAACAATGCACCATACAACAAAAATAAGTTTGTACTTCCTATTCATACCCAACATTCCAGGCATTCTGTGTGAATTTCCACCTGGATACGTTTGTATTTATTTTCAGGCTACACAAATTTGGCATATATCCACAGATAGAGAAAAGCAGACAAATGAGGAGAGTTGTGTACAATGCTTCTATCATCAGTAATATACAGCTCCGTGCATTATTCACTAGTTAATTGTTCTTGCCTTGGCCTAGTTCTGTTCCTAGGAGGAAAATAATATACATAAAACTCCTACCTCAAGCCTACAAATGTTATGCACTTAATTAGGAAAAAAAAAACCAACCCAAAACCTCAAACATAACAACAGTCTTTTTACATTAATTATGTAAATAAAGTGTCTTATAGAATAAGGACTCATACACCTAACAACTTGCAGCCCTGTGTGCTCATGAGCATCTACTTCTTGAGAAATCCCATCCCCTAAAAAAGCAGCGTCCACACTACCTGCAATTCCTGCAAAAGATACCAATATGCTTCAGGCAAGATTTGCCTGAGAATGTTTTACAGTACGTTTCCCTTCTACACTGCTTCTGAATACAGCCACAGTAAATGAAATCTCTCTGAATGCATCTCTCATTGGAGATCCTAGGATACGCAATACAGGAAGGAGGAATAAATTAAGTTGGCAGGATTCAATGGTTTTAAGTACCTGCTGGTTCCCTGACTGTTTCAGTTTAAAGGGCAAGGGAAAAGCACTTCACCTGACACCAGAATGAACAGGGAACAGCATCTTTTGCTCTATCCACAGATGAGAGCTGAGAATGTCATGCATCATAATTCAGAGCACGCATCTGAGTTCTTGGGTCACTTGTAACAAGTTCAGTATGATGAGAAATATAATCTGGTGTTATGGACAGTAACAGCATCATGGTAGCCATCAGCAAATAAAGGGTGGTTGATTTGTTTGTTTCTAACAGTTTTTGTTTTATAACAATCGTTTGCTAATTCAAAAGCTAAAAAGAAAAGTGCACCCGAACATCTGAAACGTTTTTAACAATCTTTTCAGCTTAAAATCAGAAAATTATGTGTCATGTTAAAATCACTGACCTTTTCTAATTTTTCGAAGTGTTCTCTGAGGAACTTCATGGGTCGGTCTGGTTTTGCTATGCAGAGATTTACAATGCACTCCTTTAAGATCTGCTGGATGTTGTGCTTCTGAACGTAGAGCTCACATCCCTTCAGGCTCTCATCTTCTTCCACACTGCAGGAAGAAGCAGCAGCCATCTTCAGGCTCGTAAACAGTAAACAGACCTGGGTAAAGAAAATGGTGTAAGAAAGAGACAGTTCTTTATCAGAGGAACTTGGAGCAGCAGAGATAGACGAGTACTGCCTATGGCTGTCAATCCGGAACATTTCGATGCTCTGCAAACACTAACCACAGGATCAACACATTGGCAACTACGAAAAGCGCATTTCAACTCCTCAACATCTACAAATAACGGTACAATGAATCACAAGGCCACGAGTTGCAGAGGCAGTCATTAAACACCGGTACAAAGCCCCGCATTTCACAGCCTCCCCCCGCCCAGAACAAACCCAGGTTCGCGTCTTAGGAGGATTTCAGGCTCGGGCAGAGCCCAACAGCAGCCGATACCCGAAGGAGGAGGGCCGACCTCCCAGCGCCGCGCCCCGCGGAGCCTCCCCCAGCCCGGGTCGGGCCGCGCGGCGCCTCTGAGGCATCGGTACCGCCCGCAGCCAGCAGCAGGGAGCGCGCCGGGCCGTACCTGGGCCGCCGATCTGCGGAGCAGCAGCGGCTCTTTCTGCCGCCCTCACGGATGAAGGCGTTTCTCCGCCGGCTTCCGCAGCGCAACAGCCTCTTCCTCCTGCTCCTCTTCCTTCTCCTCCTTCTCCTTCTCCTCTCGCTGCCTGCTCCGCGACCGCGGGGCTCCTTCCCTCATGCAGACGCGGACACAAAGGCTGCGGCCCCGCCGCCGCAGGAAGTGCCGCTGCTGTCACTCAGCAGCAGGATCGGCCTCCGCGGGGCGGCACGGAGTCGGACGCCGGGCCGGCTGTTACGGCGCTCGCTGGCCGCTGTCTCAGCGCTGTGTTGTAATGGCGGCTGAACGCACTGCCGCCGGCTGCCCGGCCGCTGCGATGCGAGACAGGGCTGCGCTTTGCTGCGACCCGAGCTCACGCCGCGCACTGCGGTACCGCCTGCTCGCGTTGCCCGCGGGCTGCGCGGTGCGGTGTGCAGCGCTCAGAAATACAACTGAGCACGTATTGACTCGGTGGACATTGGAAATAATACCGTGTATTGCTGCTGGGGGATTCTGATCCCGCTATAAATTATTTATTAAAGGATGGGGGGGGGTGAAGGGAAGCACACACCACGTGACACAGCCCCAAGGCGCGGCCTGCCGCCAAGCGCGCCCGGCGTGGCCGTAAAGCGTTTCCCGCCGTCGTAAAGCGTGCCGCGTCCTTAGCAACGGTGCCGCGCTTCCGTATCGCCGGGGCAGCATGGCGGCGTGCGGGGCGGCCGAGCTGGCGCAGGCCCTGAGCCGGCCCCTGAGCTGTCTGCAGGGCCCCGAGTGCGGCCGGGCGGCTCGGCTGCGGGCTCTGGAGGCCATCCGGGTCGAGGTGCAGGAACGGCCGCTCTCGTCGGAGGCGGCGCGGGAGGTTTTCGAGGCTCAGCTGGTGCGGCCGCTGGCGCGCTGCCTGGCGGGGGACGCGGCGGAGCGGTGTCGGGAGCTCGCCCTGCAGCTCCTCCTGCACGGCCTGAGCCGCTGCGAGCGGCTCGGAGAGGCGCTGCCCGTCCTGCTGCCCGTCCTGGCGCAGCGCCTCGGCGCCGAGCCGTGCGAGGAGCTGCGCCTCGGCCTACTCCAGCTGCTGGGGCTGCTGCTGCGGCGCGGCGGGGCCGACGTGGCCCCGTACCTGTCCGATGTGGTCGGCATCCTGCAGGCCGCACTCCTCGACCACTACGCCGAGGTCAGGCGGGAGGGCTGCGGGTGCGCCGTGGCCTGCGCCCAGGCCGTGCCAGGTGAGGCTCGGGGGCGGCGCGGGGGGGATCGCGGAGTGCCGTGAGATGCGCTGTCCCGGGGGGGCCAGGCTGGGGCCGGAGTCTGTGGGGATGCAGCCAGCAGCAGGGAAGAGAAATACGTTGTGCACAGCCTCACAGGAGCGCTTCGTCAGCCCCGAGGGGGATACGGTGAAGAAGTGTACCAGATATCCACTGGTGGATGCGGGTTGGGCGTGAACCAGCACTGTGCCTTCCAGCCCAGAGAACCAGCCTTACACTGGGCTGCATCGAAGGTGCGGCCAGCGGGGTGAGAAGGTGACCCTGCCCCTCTGCTCTGTGCTGTGAGCCCTCACCTGGAGTACTGCATCCACATGGGGAGTGCTCGGTGCAACACAGATGTGAACCAGAGGAGGGCCATAAAAATGACTTGTGGGATGGAACACATCTCCTACAAGGACAGGCTGAGAAAGCTGGGGCTGTGCAGCGTGGAAAAGGGAGAGCTCCGGGGAAACCTGAGAGCAGCCTTCAGTATCTGAATGGGCTGTAAGAAAGAAGGGAACAGACTCTTTAGCAGGGTCTGTGTGATAGGACAAGGGGAAATGGTTTCAAACTAAAACAGGGCACATTTAGATTGGTTATAAAGAAAAAGTTTTTTATGCTAAGGGTAGTGAGGTGTTGGTACAGGGTGCCCAGAGTGGTGGCAGTGCTGTGTCCCTGCAGACACCCAAGCTCAGGGGACAGAATCTGAGCACTGATGGAGCTGTGGTTTCCCTGCTCGGTGCAGGGAAGTTGGACTTGATGACCTTGAAGAGTGCCTTCCAACTCTTAAACAATTCTATGATTCCATGATCAGTTATGGCGTGTGGGTGACGATGTTTCAGTGGGGGAGCAGTGCTTGTGGGCTGGCATTCAGCTCCAATATAATGTAAACATCAGCTTGCTGCTCACAGTGCTGCAGAAATCACCCTGCTCAAAATGTGTGGCCCCTGTAGAGAATGGAGCACTTGAAGTTTCTGTCTCTCTCCTAACAGAGCACTTCCACATGCAGTCGGAATCTCTGATAAAGCCCTTAATGCAAACAATTTCACACCAGCACTACAGAGTTCGTGTGGATGTAATTCAGGCTACTGGAGCAGTGATACAGTTTGGAAATGGGAAGTCTGTGGATGATGTTCTGTCTCATCTGGCCCAACGGTTATTTGATGAGATTCCCAAGGTGTCGATTTTCTTCTTTTTTTTTGTGAGGGATCAGGGGGTGTTATTTTAAATCTAGCTTTCTATTTGTTTTTCCCATTGATTTTCAGCATTCATGCATCCATTTAAGGTATGTAAGCTTGTCACATATGGGCCCAGTCAGCTGTGGACTATCCAAAAGCAGGTGGATGGCCTGTTCCACTGCTGTCTGGTTCTGCACGCTGTTGTAGTGTGTAGGCACCTTAATGTTAAAGGAGGCCTCCAATTCTGCAAAATTCTTCTGGCAGATCTCTCCTGGATTTTGTTCTATGGTTTTTTTAGATGTTTAACAAAGACAGTTTGGGTTCCTTCATAAAAAGCAATTGCAGTAGTCCTTTGTAAATGTGCTATGTAATCATAAATAATTTCATTTTTTGAGTGGGTGCTTTCAAATACTTAACTTTGGTTTCCGTTACAGTAAATGGATAAAATTGTCTTCTAGAGAATGGCTGGAAAAGTGCAAATTCGAAAGAAATGTACATTTCTCATGTTCTCAGAGAGATACAAAGCACAAGAAGTGTGTTTGTGCAGTACTTCGTCTAAGGCCGAGTCAGAGAGAGAACACAAGGGGGAGCACGGGGTCGTGCTGAGATGCTGCAAGTGAGGAGATCCTCTGCTCTTCTCATTATCACAGACTGTTCCTGCACTAGATACCAAATCTTAGCTACCAAAAGCAATTTTTTATTCTTTCTATCTTTTGAAGTATTTACCTGACTTTTTAAAAATGAATTATTTTTTTGTTCCCTCATTTTTAATCCACGCAGGTTCGTCAGGCTGTAACAACTGTGGTTGGAGAATGGCTGTTGCACCTCCGGGACAGATACTCCTATTTTCACAAGTTGATCCCCCTGTTACTCAGCAGCATTGCTGATGACATTCCTGAAAATACGTAAGCAGAATACTTTTGATTTTTCTTTTCTTTTTTTCCCCCTCCACTTCCCTTCCTCTGTGTGGAAGTATTTCTATGTTTACAAATAAATTATTTGGAAGAAAAGTAAACATTTGTAAACCTACTCCTGACAGTGTAACCTCTGGTGACTTGTTTGTGTGAGGAGGGAAATGGTAAGAGAGGCAGAGCTGGGATTACCCTCTAGAAGAAGTGTTCATCAGCATCAGCTCTTCCCACTGCTTCCAATTCTTCCAAATGAATTCAAGAAGTCATAATTTCCAAAAGTCTCATTTTAAGATGTTTTCCTGTGGGGGTCATGGTTTTTATTTTATTTTGAGCCTAGGACACTAGCTTGGACTTATTGGGAAAAGATAGGCTTGCAGTGGGAGAAGGAGAACGAAGAAGATCTGAAGGATAAGATGGATTTTAGTGTTCCACCATCTCATTATCCCAAAGGAGGTGAGTATTGCACAGAAAGTAGGGATTTTCCAGGTGGGTGGTGCTGAGGAGGATTGGCTCAGCACTGTTCTCTCTGGAGAACTTGCATTTAAAAGGGGGGGAAAAAGTGTATGACCTGAGAGCAATTGCCTTTTTTTTCCCCCTTCCAAACTTAGTGATTCCACAGAGATTGCACAGAAGAGTCCTTCTATTTGATGCCTCAATTAATTCTTTAAATGGCATTTATGCTGTCAAAACAATTAAAAGGAAATCATGGAAGTTGTTAGGCAGCATTTTCCAAAGAGGGCACTGTGCCATACTCTTGTACGTTTTCTTCCTTCTTTAAACATTTTAAAGCATAAACTTTAAGCCACTTTGTAGTAAGAAATATATATACATTTTCTGAGTGGTGTGGAATTAAGAATATTGCAGTATCTATTAAAGAAATACTACTTGCACATGTAAAATCCTCAGCAGCATTTGGAACATCTTCTTCCACACTGAAGCAGATCCCCAGAGCTCATCTTGGAGTCTCTAAACTCTTCTGAGGCTTTTCCTTCCACATGGCTGTCATTGTCTTGTGAATAATTTGTGGGTTTGTTTTCCCTCTCCAGTGACCCGACCAGGACTGGGGTGTCGGGAACTCGTGTCAAGGAACCTCTCCAAAGTCCTTCCAGCTCTCTGCCGTGATCTAACAGACTGGGTTGAAAGCACGAGAGTGAAAGCATCCCAGCTTCTGTATGTGTTACTGCTGCACGCAGAGGACCACATAACACAGCACATGGAGCTGCTTCTCAGAACTTTGTATCAAGCATGCTTGGATGAAGAAAGCGAGGTGGTTAGGAATGTAAGTATCTGCTACATGCTTCATGAAGACACTCGTGTGTGTGCCTGGTGCACTGTGTGAGGGATGGCAGTACCGTGGGTCACTGCAGCTTCCCCGTGACATCGGGATCAGCTTTTAATGGGTGTTAAAAATATGGATAAATTGTATTTAATTACTGTGTTAAAATCAATGCATTCTTGCATTGTTGGTCTGAAGACCGATAATAAAATTATTTAAATACTGTTTGGTTTATCAGCCAACTCCATGAAGCTTCAAAAATGATCTCCATAAAAATCATAAGCAGATTAAAGTGTAAAAGCCTTGTGGCAACAGATTCCATTTAGAAACTTGTGCAGGTCATGCCCGTTCAGGTTCAATTGATCATCTCCCCCTGCTGCATAGCCCACCTTGTTCCACACAGTACCTGCAGTCATTGTACTTAAAACTCCTAGCCTTTTTGCAAGGAATAATTAGTATCATTTTTATCTAATAGTGTATCAGTTGTTGCTCTCAAGGCTTGGTTCAATAATAAGGCAATAAAATCTATGTCACTGAAAGGACTAGATGGATTTCTCAGAGGCCAGACAGCCAATACAAACTGTTTTTACAATTTTTAGAGAAGATCTGTTC